TTTTTCGTAAATTTTTTGATTTTCCCTCTTTTTCAAATTTCCCCCTCCTTTTTTAGAAATATTTTCATAACTTAGACGAAATTGAATAAAAGCTACGACCGATCTATAGATCTTTTATTTGCGAATCTCTCATTTCTGTAGCTTAAAAACTCTAGGATGAGAAAGGTTTGCAGTGATAATAGCGATGTTCAGTAGAGCGCGACAAAGTCCCGAGCGCCCCGAAATAGGCATTCAAGGTAGCAAGGATACCAGACAAGACGCTACTTGAGCTGAAATTCAGTCACAGATGTAGGAAACGACTGCATGAGCGCCATCACGCATGACATCTGCCAGGTAACTTGAATGCAGCGTCGTCAGATCTGCCTTTTATGTCCAAAGTACTTAACAGATTTGAATGAAATTTTGAATATGAATTTCTGAAAACTCAACGGTGATGCTTAGCTCGTGAGAATTTTTTACAATTTGCCTTCGTTCGCGAGTATTTTTCTCTTTTCCCTCATTCGTGATTTAAACAGCAATATTGTGCTTAAATTCGCCGTGTACACGAGATTTCTTCTAAAATACTGAACAGATTTGAACGAAACTTTGCATATAGAAACCTAACCTCCCAACGGTGATGTTTATCTCATGACAATTTTTTTCGATTTTGCCTTCGGTTGCGAGTTATACGGCTTTACGTATATGACTCTTGGTCAATGCAAGTTCAAAAATCGGCCTGAGAAATGCCGGTCGTTTCTCCGTATATCCGTATAACTCGCAAACGAAGGTAACATCAAAAAAATTGTCACGAGATAAACATCACCGTTGTGAGGTTAGGTTTCATATGCAAAGGTTCGTTCAAATCTGTTCGGTATTTTAGAAGAAATCTCGTGTACACTGCGAATTTAAGCACAATTTTGCTGTTTAAATCACGAATGAGGGAAAAGAGAAAAATAACTCGCGAACGAAGGCAAATTGTGAAAAATTCTCACGAGCTAAACATCACCGTTGAGTATTTAGAAATTCATATTCAAAATAATTTCATTGATATCTGTTCAGTACTTGGGGAGAAATTTTTTGTACACTGCAAATTTCGGCACATTTCGTCATATAACTCACGAATGCAGGCAAAATTAAAAAATTGTCACGAGCTTGACATCACCGTCAGCCATAATGAATACGTATAAGGAAGTTTAATCGAGATACGATCAGTACTTAGGGAGATATTCGATGTTCACTGAATTTGGACACTGGCCGTGAGTCCGGCCGCGACCGGCCGCAAGTGGCAAGTCACGTCTCGGACAAATTTACGGCCGTCAGCTCCTAAAATTACAGAATCGCATGATTCTCTCCGCCGCATGCGATCGATCCATTGTTCGCCACGTGTTCTACAAAATCTACACTTCAGCGTCTGGAGTCTGAATCACCAAATCATTTCACGGATTTCTCTTCGGATTTGTACTCGGCCAGTTGCTTTTACACAGCATCAGCAAGTTTTGGATGTGATATTTGATTTTCCACGCCTTAATTTTGCAACCCATATCCAATCAGTACAAACTGAGTGACTCAAGCGCCTGAATGTGCTGAGACTGAGAGCATCTCAGCATTGAGTGCTCTGCTCTGTGAGGTGGGGGCGTGGGGGGCTCTAAGTCATCTTCATTCTCCTGGGGCGAGTACACATTGCATTTATTTGTAGCAAGTTGGAGTTGTTGTTGTTGTGGTTTCCCGGTCTGGCGGTCTCAATTTTACAAGAGACCCCCCTCGCGCGGCGCAAGTACGACACCACCGACAGGGGGTCGCTCCAGAGCTGTAGGGTCGAGGTTATGTGGTGGTGTTGTCTGAGGTCTTGCCAGAGCGGACATTCCAGGAGAATGTGAGTGATTGTGTGGGGAGCTCTCTGGCAGGATGGGCAGGTGTCTGTGTCTGCTTGGCCTATTCTGTTTGCGTATGTTTGTAGTGAGGGGTGGTACTCTCTCCAGTCTAGAGAGCTGTGTTTCTGTGCTGCTTATGTCAGGTGCCAGGTGGTGGGTGTCCAAGGACTTTGTTGTTGCCGGCCAGCTCCAGCGTTCTAAGTGTCATAATTGTGTGTAAGGGTTTTTTTGTGCTGGTGTTGCCTTGGGGACTTGGGGTGGTGGTATTGTGTCTAGTATGTTGGTGTAATATCTGTGTGGGGTTTGCACTATTTGTCAGTGTGTAGGTGGGTGGTTGCGTAGGTAGTGGCACGGGTGTTGTGTGTTGTTTATGGCTGCGGCTATGAATTGTGTTCCTCTCATCAGTCTCATGTCGAGGAGTGCTTTTATGGGAAGTATTTTTGTTTCTGCATGAAGGTGTTCTATGGGGGGTGCTTTGTGTGCAGCCTGTGACTATCCTGAGTGCTTTGTTTTGTAGTGTTTGGAGTTTCTGTATGTTTGTGTTGGATAGTGTGGGTGCCCAGGCGGGGCTGGCATAAGCCAGCACTGTTCTGATGAACTGTTTGTATGTTGGTGCTAGTGTTTCTTTGTTTTTGCCGAATTTGGTACCGCCTAGGGCCCGAAGTGAGTTGAGTCTGATGTTTGCGTTGTTCGCAAGTTGGAGTATGGCTGCAGTGTGATGTCCTTGGAGATCTCCCATCCACATGTATCGATGCATGAAGCCCCTTAAATCTTAATGCCTGTGACTGTGAGGCTCAAGGCTGTGACCTTAACCTAATGATCCTGGATCCATTGATCCTAATCCTTGTCCTTGGTGCCCATCACACCTCTCCAATTTTGTACTGGAGACAATGTTTTTTTGCCTCCTCTGTGTCTTTGTTTTTGCTTCCTATTCATGAAATGGTCCCTTACCGTCCCTATGATATTTATACTCGTCTGAACAGAGCTCATTGTCTTGTCTGCACTCTGCTGGCCCATGATATGATGGGGCTTTCTTGGGGCATAGTGACAAACCAGAGATTTTTTAGAATCCGTTCATTTTTATTTCTTCATTCACTCGAGATTTTAACCAATTTCTTAAATATGATAATGCTGGTATTCATGATACTACTTCACTAGTCTAGTTGCTGATCATATACCAGACAATTTACTTCTAGAGCTTCACTTCTAACTTCTTGAGCTTAAGTTCAAGAAGTTATATCCACTTGGCAATGTTTGAAAGTACCTGCCCTGGTGTGTTTTTATGTTATTTTTTTGTTATATAGTGAATTCTCATGACCCAATTAAAATGGTGCAAAATAACAAGTCCAGTCCTGTAAGACAGTAAGGTTACTGATACAGTTGACAAGGTTGCTGTCACTGCTCAATGGCATGTCCATGGATAGGGTATTACTAAGGGTAATATTACATTAATAATACAGTTATATATGGATATGGTAATATCATATCAATAAAGAAAAAAAGTACATATCACAGAAAATGTCATTTATTTTGCATGTAGGTCATCTACAAAGCAAGAGGAGGGCTTTGGAGTACTGTTAGTACATAGTAGTGCTGGAGTGGGAGAGTACACTCTGCATGCTTGAAACATTTTAAAATTAAGTTTTGTTTCAAGGGTCCCAAATTACCTGCTTTTATTTTGCATCTGGAACCTTATGAATAGTATATAGAATTTTTTTAAGATGATACCGTAAAATGGGGTAACTTAGACCACTTTTTTTTATAAATGATGCCATTTTTTTACTAGCTAAATTAAACTTGAATTGAAACATGCAAAATACAGGTCTATACTCTAGCTTCACTCACCATAAATTGCTGGCTCTTCCTCTCATAGTCTTTATGTAATTTCAAAAAAAGTGATGGTCTTTGTTACCCCAGCTCTTGGGGTAACATAGACCGGGTGGTAAAATCAATTATATTTTTTGGTAAAATAACTCCAAATAACTCCAGGTTTTGGTGCATTGTAGTAGAACTCTTCTAGTTACATATGCAAATGACAAACTTGAGGAAAGTGTCATAGTTTTATTAGTTTGCAAATGGGGGGTCCTGCCCCCCAGGTGGTCTAAGTTCCCCCAAACGGGAGAACTCTGACCACCTAATGGCAGCCCTGGCAGGGTTAACATAGACCGGCCTGGAAATTAAGTTAAATTACCCTATATAAGACTCTGTAGAGTCTGAAACCTAAAGAAAAAACATAAATAGGCTGTCAAACATAAAATATGTTATATATGGTAATTCTATATTAACTTCCAAGCCGGTCTATGTTACCCCGTCAGGGCTGACATTAGGTGGTCTAAGTTATCCCATTTGGGGGCGGCGCCCCCCATTTGCAAACTATGGCACTTTCCTAAAATTTGTCATTTGCATATGTAACTAGAAGAGTTCTACTACAATGCATCAAAACCTGGAGTTATTTAACCAAAAAAGAAAAAAAATTGGAGGGGGTACTCTGACAGGCTTTAAATAATAGCTTCTTTTCATGGGTCACATTTTTCATTTTTTAACCTATTAGATATGCAAACTTTTCAAATCTTTCTATTGTGTTATGTGGCCTCAGTATTAGGCCTTTATCAGTCAATCACTAATTATCTGACCATTGTTCTATCTATAGCATCACCAGCTGCAAAGTCCACAAATTGAAATATGAGCATTTAAATGAAGGTTTGATTTGGACAATGGAATTGACGCTCTTTCCGCATTTTCTTCAAAAGGTGGAAGTATCGATATATATATTTATTTATTTTGGCAACTTGATTAAATTTAATTAAATTAAATTTTTATGTCTCTAATTTTTCATTTGCTTAAACTGAATTTTAATTATAAAGAAAAATTTTGTGTACTGATCGCATTTAGTGAATTCTTCAAGTACAATTAAAACCTTCAATAGGCAAAATTTTCAAAAATTCATAGAAATAAATATATTTTATAATACTTCTTACTTTCTTGAAATGGTTACTGAAATTTTAATTTCTGGATATTTCAATGCTTGCCTGCTAAAGGGTTAAAATGAGCCAAAACTTGTTTATGAAATGTTTCATGGTAAGAAGTTAATGAAAAACGCTCAAAACCGTTCCTTATTACCCCATTATACAGTAGGTACCTTGGTTATTGCAATTTGCCAGACAATACTATGACTGACACATTACATATTCTTCTCTCAGTGTAAGAAATGGTTACAAAAGATGTTACAATTCCTGCCTCTGCATTAAGCATAACTCTTGGCCTTACATTTCTTATTGGCTTTTTTTGTGGATATCAAGCAAAATCCTGGAGGATTGAGTGGCTCAAGAGAAGGAAAGATAGACTGCATAGAAAAGTTCTGCAAATTCAGGCTGAAATTGATTCATTTCAGAAATAAAGTTGGTGAGTAATTTATTAGGACCCTAAAATTAATTTGTATAAATGTACATGATGAATATTATCCATGGTTTCCAAGATATTTAGGTTATTGCAATTTGCCAGACAATACTATGACTGACACATTACATATTCTTCTCTCAGTGTAAGAAATGGTTACAAAAGATGTTACAATTCCTGCCTCTGCATTAAGCATAACTCTTGGCCTTACATTTCTTATTGGCTTTTTTTGTGGATATCAAGCAAAATCCTGGAGGATTGAGTGGCTCAAGAGAAGGAAAGATAGACTGCATAGAAAAGTTCTGCAAATTCAGGCTGAAATTGATTCACTTCAGAAATAAAGTTGGTGAGTAATTTATTAGGACCCTAAAATTAATTTGTATAAATGTACATGATGAATATTATCCATGGTTTCCAAGATATTTATAAATTTATTTCCAATCCTATTACAACTTGAAATTCATCCCAGTTTATCATAGCAGTTTACTTACTGCCATCAGGGATATAGACATGTAGTTTTTGCAATTGATCTGCTAAAAAATGTTGATACATTGACTCAATTTTGGATACTTCTAAGACTGTGTGTCATCAGACTACCAATAGGTCTGGTTGGTATGTTAGTTCTTAACAACAATGGCAACTGGCCACGAAAGACTTTTTAAACCTTGATTATTCTAGTCATGTATGTATGATATAGTCAAATGGGGTAAGACAGGACCACTAAATGATCTGTTTTACCCCACAAGTGGTCCTATCTTGCCCCACAAAAGTAATGTATAAAATGATAATTAACTATGCCAGCTATATAATATCATCCATATTTTGCGCTCAAAGGACTAAATGGATCATATGGTCACGTTTAATGTTGGGGTCTTGTAAGACCAATTAAGTGGACTACAATTTATACAATTTTATTGGATAATACGTATATACGTACATATACAATTTTCAATATACTATTTTCAATGTTCCATACTCATCTATACACTACTTAGTGACCGTATTCACTAGAAATTATAAGAAAAAAATTTATGTGCTTTAAAAAAATGTGGTTGTTAAAGAGTTAAGAAAGTTTTCTCCTGACAAAAACTCCAATATGACTGATAAATATCAATAGAGTTGACTTCCTGCAACAAAAAACAGTAACAAGTGGTTATTTAATCAAATAAAGTGTTTCTAAATGGATAATATTAAATATCAGGTTTGTACTTTCATTAAAGACCTTGTAACACAAGAATTACCAGTTGGTCCTGTCTTACCCCATCTGACTATATATATATATAAAATCTGATTAAAAGGCATTGTTCTTTATTTAATATGCTACAAGTTTTTATTTGGGCTGGCAACCCATAATTGAATGTTTATGGCATATCCTATAATACATATTTATTACATATTTCATATTTCCCAAATATTACATATTTCCCAAATTTTCATCTATTAAATTTACATATTTCCTTCATCTGCTGTTTCCAGATCATAATAAACCATATTTGTTCAAAGAATCTAGCATTTACACAAAAATTTTTATCCCTAAATAAATTCAGCAATTGAAAATACCTATATATAATGAGCCACTAGCAGTTGTATAATTGATTTATTTTTATTTAGGTTTTCTCAGTGTCAACCATGAGTGGGAGTGAAGAACAAACTTTGGAGTTTTTAGAGTCTCGGCTTAAACAACTCGAACAGAAAATGTTTGGCTCAGCTCCAAGAGACACAAATTATCCAGAGGTAAGTCCAAAGTCAATCATCACCTATACTTGGATAAATCTACTTAATTCCTCACAATTGGAGCTTTCCTGCCATTTTTGGAGCTATTGGATTTTTTATAGGGTAATTATATTGCATCTAATTATTATGTAAACTGGAGGACTGAACCACAAGACTAGCTCAGTAACTTGCCTGAAGGAAGAGCAATGGACATGAAAACTTTTTAACACAAAGCTGTACTATTTAAACATGCAAGTTGATAACAGAGGCAATGTTTATACATGAATAACTAAGTTTTTGTGATGTACAAAACAGTTGACTTGCATCATACAATAGCAGTTCAAGACCTTTCACACTTGCATATTTGTATTGTGATTGAGTACACCCCATGGAGCCAGACCACATAACATTTTGTGTTGGTGTTTGTTGCAACAGTTCATGTACTGCAATTTTGTGTCTGATAGCAAAATGATGGCTTTGGTTAATTACTATGCTAACCATTATTTTCAGGGAGGTCTTATATGCTATCAGTTCTGGCCTAATATTTTCTGTTCATTCATGATTGTTAATCTAATCTAAATTGACAATGATGTCAGCAGCAGCATAATGCCAAACTAATGTCAATATTTTTTTTCCTTTTCAATATTTATTCCAATAATGTTCTAATTTTCATCTTTCTTACTGTTTCTTTCATTGCTGGTTGTTTCTGGGAAGAGAACTGAAGAAGGCATGAGAAAGGAAATTCGACGTCCACTTTGAATTTAAGATTATATATACAGTATATTCATGGTTATAAGTGCCCTACAGCAGCACTGATCTTGCAGCCAAATATCCACCAGCATAATGCTGACTATGATGCTGATTGAACTAGCGTAAAAAATAATCCTGAAATGTTATCCCCTCAGCTATGCAAAAATTATTGGGATCTGAGACCATGAATGTGTATATATGTGTCAGTCAAGTTTATTGATCTACTGTCTTGTGTGTGTGATTTATTATAAAATGTTTTATTTTAGCTCATTTAAAGAATTGTACATTCTTTTGCACTTGAGTATGGATCCTTCTTGATTACTAAATAACTGATAAATAAGGACCCAGCTTCACTATGCTAATAACTGCATAGTGCTAATAATATAAATACTAATAAATAATCATAAATTGCGCAGGTGATCAGCACATTGGCTGCACTGAGCACTGATCTGGGCAACGCTCTGAGCACCCGGGACCGCATGATGGCTGTCATGAAGAGGCGTTAGTATTGACTTTGTCTCTTATACACATCTAGATGTGTATAAGAGACAGGAACGCACTAGATCGTANACTAGAAATCTTCCTCTACTAATAACCTTAATAACTTAGCTTAGCAATACTAAAGACATATTGACAACGTTAGGATCTGAGATTGTTGAAGGTTGATACAGTTTGAATCAACGAAAATAATTTTATGTTATACGAGCTTATTCATAAGATGTACTTTATTAATGGCCATCATTGATGACCTGTTGTGGTTAAATTCTTTTTGAACTTGCATTTCTAATTTGAGATGGTTTTACTAAACTAATAACTTTGGTATATTTATTTTATACATCCTTCTATATTTCCACATCCACACTCCTGCATATTTGTTACCCTGGTATTTCACCCTAGACTGCGTGGCTGACGGGGAGAAGCTGATTGAGCTGACGAGCAGGAACAGCGAGCTAGAGGAGCAGGAGCAAGAACAGAGTCAGAGGATCACGCATTTCCTCGAGTCCTATAACGCCATTGTGAGTTCAGCGCAACCTTAGAGCGCGTGTTGACGTAGTTTTGATATTACATAGTCTTGACTTGTATTTTATAAAATGATCCGAATGAATTATACTTGCACACAACTAACTGTAGACATGACCCAAGCTTACACATCTGCAATAAATTTGGATTTACAGATTAGTTACGAAATGACCCAAGAATGATGATAAATAAACCCTGCCTTGCTCCATATAACCACTGCCTTGCTCCATATAACTGGAGCCTTGCTCCATATAACCACTGCCTTGCTCCATGTAACCACTGCCTTGCTCCATATAACTGGAGCCTTGCTCCATNATAACTTGCCTTGGTAAGATCCTAGTGAAGAATTGTCTTTGGTAATCTTATGCTGCCTGGTTTATATTCAATGGGAATGAGGTAATGCAGCTGGCCGCTGGTGAGGCTGGAGACTAAGAGGGTTTAAGAGCCACCTCTGGAAATCCCAGCTCCATTATTTTCGTTTCTTGTAAATTTCTTCTACTATTTGTCTCATTCAACTAGAATTTTGAACGCGCTCCAATTTCTTTCAAATTGAATTTATTATCCCTAATTAAAAATTAAAGTTATCCCTATAATTTGCATCGATTTAATTTTTTTTATTCTCTATTTTTTTTGGAGATGCCATGCCGAGGATTTTTTTAATTCAAATTTATTTCTCATGATCCTATCTAGAAACGGTACCTATTTAAAAAAATTCCTGTGCTGTTCTATTGAAGGTCTTTCCTATTGATATTTCAGTATAATTGACATGTTGCACTACGCGCTAGTAATCTGACTTTCAAAATAACTAATTTTTAATATGTACCCTGACGCTCTATTTAATGTGGATGCAGATTTAATCCGTGGATTGCGTTTATAGACCTGATTTTAATAGACAACTCAATTGATATATAATATATTGCTATAGCCATGAAGGCTCAGGACTACGATCAAATTGTGGAGGCTTTCAATTGCTACGCAGGAGCAGACGCAACGCAGCACCTCATTGACTCCTTCCCGCAGTGAGTAGCGTGTGGACTTGCTGGTTAACTAGAAATTTTCCCGCAATGTTCATGGTGTCTGGGAGTAATTAACAGAGAGGAAGTGTTCATTATTGATTTCCGATCATGGGAATGGTGAACCTCTTTATTTTTTCTACCGTTGGTGGCAAAGTGGATTAGGTCTTAGAGTGGATGGCGTGAATTGACGCAGTTTGTGTTTTATAAAATCTTTTAACCGTTTGCAGTGAATGAAGTCGTATTTCAATGTGCTCTATTTTAATATGAGGCAAGAATTGATTAATTAGTGAGCAATATTCTAAAATGTTACGTCTGTTGTACAGGTTTGAGCCCGCCGTACTGAGCAGCATAGTAGCACAGGAGGTGCAGAAGTACGTCAAATCAAACTACAAGAAGTTCGTCAATTCTCACAAGTCGGCGTCTTACTTCAAAAAGTGAGTTAACTTGACCCACGTCTTGTATATAGTGCGATTGCAACGGTTAGTTCTTAACAAATTATTTAAACATCACTAAATCAATAATAGAGAAAACGATATTGTTAATAATAGAACAGTTGGTCACCTTTGTTTGAAAGAACTTTACGACAATGTATTTGTTGCTTTTTATTGCTCCCTTTACTTTCGACTCTGGAGTATTACCTATTGTTTACGCAGAGGGGGAGATGAACATCGGCGAATAATGTTAGTATTTGTTTTGCTTGTACTGTTTGTGTGTAAAGAACGAGGATTTATTCCTATTTTTTACATAATTAATCGTTTTACAGATACACGAAAGCTGTAGAGCGCGGTGAAGGCCCGGGTATTCTACTGCATATGGCCACGAAAAGCATTTTCCCCCGGCTCTGCTGGCCAAGATTGTGCTCGAGCGCTGGCTCCTCAGCCGCGACGAACTGAATGTTGCTGCCGGCGACGCTGTCCTCCCGCCTCGCAACCAAGCCTCTCCACCCGCTTCGTCTGTCCTCCAAGCCTCTCCTGGAATACCATCTCCTCCTAGCGGCAGCGCCGAAGTTGCCTCTTCAGATTCTGTGGCCAAAGAAGAAAATGGATGTAGCCAGCAAGACTCCTTGTCGAACTTCAGTAGCAGCCCCGTCAATATTCCTGACACATCAGCGAAGTTAGATAGTAGGAGACATTCACTGAACAATCTGAGCAGTCCGGGAATTGATCTATCAGCCGTTTTTACCAAACCGGAAAAAGGTGTATATTTATTTGATGGGACAGATAAAATTTGTAACATCGATATTACTGTTCCGTCTTCAAATTGTGAATCCATCCACACAGACAATAAACTGTCAGTGAACGAGTCACTGACGTTAAGTCCCAGTAACGAGGTGATGGGCACCCCTGACGTTCAGTTAATGTTAGGGCACACTTCTGACACCGCAGAGAAGCAAGCTGGTCCCAGCATCGGAAGCGTCGCACCTTCAGAGGCAGGAGACATGCGTGAAATGCAGTTCACTAACGACCTCACCGTACCGCTCTCTCGGAATTCCAGTTTAGCGAAGGACTCGAGGGAAGCTCAAGCAAATAATTCAGTGATGAAGACAACTACACGAACCTGCGCAGCGTCAGGCAAGAGCGGCGCGGGCCTTCCTCTCAGCGAAAAGAAGAAAAACAGTAAGCTAATAATGCTCGGCCGTGCATTGCCGAAAAACCTCTGATGTGTTTACCAAATTTTTAATTAAGAATGTACGTATAATTAAATGCTAGGTAAGTTTTTTTAAACACTTTTTCTATGATTTCCAAATTCAATGTTATTTAAAGATTCTATTTCAAGACATAAATGAAAATTTTATTACCTTGAATTTTTATTGTAACCGTGTTTCTGTCTTGTAGTTTACCTTTCTTTTCTACAATGCCAATCCCTAAAACTGTGATCCTAGTTTCTTCAATTTTGTCTTATACTTCGAAGTTTGAACTGGAGTTTCTTCGTAGAGATATTCACTTATTCATTCTAAAATGTCTACAACCAAACGCACATTTTCCCTTACCAATATTCTGTTCATATTCACGTTGATGCTAATTCTCTTATCTATCCACTTATTTATGAGACTGACAATTCAGCCGAATTTAATAAAGTTTGTACGTATCTACCACGAATCATCTCTTGTGTACTAAAGGATTATCACGTTTCAAGGTCAAGGTTGTCATGTATGGAACTATCGTCTTATGGTCATATATTTCAAACCTTTTCAATTTCATTGTTGCTTTGTACAGAACGACACGAACGGGAAGTTGACTTGACATATTATGAAAAAATAATTTAGAAGGCTGCATACAATGATTGCGTTTGAGCTGTTTGTTGATCGGCTACACGTGTGTTATGGCGTTTTATAATATTTTGTTCTTCTTTCAGCCAGCAGCAAGAGTCTCATCAACAAGATGCTGCGAGACACCTCCCTCATTCCTGACAAGATCCTCAGCTTTGAAGTGCATTTAGTAAGTGTATACCAAAAAAATATTACATTATATCTCTGCGATTTAGATGCGAGTCTGTTTTGAGACTGTTTTTTTAAATGCATTTGTTCTATATTTTCAAGTTCTAATGGAATTTCACTAAAATAACTAGCAGCACTCTACTTTCTTTGATGCTTAATGATTCATATCATTAAAAGCACATACTACTCAAAGTCCTTGATTAATAATAGCANCGAGATCTCGAACTAGTTGCTTCTCCTCAATTTCTGTGCCATCTGATGCCAAGTAGCGATGTGGCATCCCGATCTCAGATCGGTCTCTGTATCTCTGATGACGAGAGTGTCGTGTGATGACAAGAGTGTCGTGTGATGACAAGAGTGTCGTGTGATGGTTAGAGTGTCGTGTGATGGTGAGAGTGTCGTGTGATGGTGAGAGTGTCGTGTGATGGTCAGTGTCGTGTGATGAGAGTGTCGTGTGATTAGGAGAGTGTCGTGTGATTACGAGTGTCGTGTGATGACGAGAGTGTCGTGTGATGACGAGAGTGTCGTGTGATGGTGAGAGTGTCGTGTGATGACGAGAGTGTCGTGTGATGGTTAGAGTGTCGTGTGATGGTGAGAGTGTCGTGTGATGGTGAGAGTGTCGTGTGATGGTCACAGTGTCGTGGTGGTGAGAGTGTCGTGGTGTCGAGAGTGTCATGTGATGGTTAGAGTATCGTGACACAGAGTGTCGTGACACTGAGTGATGTGTTGGTATACACGGCACACAGTTCCATCGGGCACGAGTACGAGGAGCTGCTGAAGCGCAAGCTGCGGGAGCGCGGCGTGGGCTACCAGACGGAGGAGGAGCTACGCGCGCTGGGCTGCGACAAGACGCCCGACACACGCCTCGACGTTCCCATCGGTCCGGCTAATATACTATAAAATAGTATAATGTACTTGCTTAATATTAATAACGACTAATAACAATCGTAATTTGCTTTATTCGTTGAAAGTGTGTAAATGTTTTTGAAATTTAAATGTCCAGCAGTCCTGAATTTCAGTGGGATGATAATGATATTTTTCCCTATACTTCATTGTATTGACATGGGGTTGAAGTGTTGATGAGTTCTATTTAGTTCACATAAGTTACTCTTAACTCCTCAGTATTTATTGCATATATCTTTCAGGAGATACTTTCAAAAGAAGGCGTTAAAGATTGTATCTAATATAGATCTAATATCTAATAGATATCTAATAGATCACATCATCTAATATAGATCTAATATCTAATAGATATCTAATAGATCACATCATCACAATATCTAATAGATCTAATAATATTGCTGGATTTGAAGTAGAGCCTTCTGGCTGCAACAGGCCGACATACGGCTGCAAATGTAATGGATAAATGCTGACCAGCAGTAGTTGGAATTTACATCAACTGGAATATTGTTTTTTCCTGCTTCCAAAGATTTTCCTGCTATACCTGGAAGTTCCTTAACGTTTTCACATGTTCGTAGACCTTGAGTCAATAGTTTCCTTACTTGAGTGTTTCCCAGCGCTGAAGTTTATTTCAGCTGTGCATCTCACTCATGAAATCAACTACTGTCATTCGAGTCACTCAGTCGAAATGTGAGAAACTACGTCTATCCTGACAGCAGTAGTCAAAGAGAAATTTACTTGCAGGTGTGGGAGGCCGAGTGGTGAACTGGATCGAGAGTAAAGCCTCGTTTGGTGACCGTGAGAACCATAGATCGTATCTCAACGACCAGCTCTGGAGCTACTGGAACAGGTGACAACACTATACACCAGCTCCGTTGTTTGGTTACCCTTCCATTTACCAGCAACAAAATAATTTGTTAGACAAAACGTAGCAATATTCATGTTATTAAGTACTTACATATAATTAGTCTGCTCAAATTCCTAGTAATGAACTTATGTTCTTGAAATTTTCGTGCATTTCGGTTGAATTATTTCTTTGTGAAATGCTCCACCAGGTTCGGTCCTGGTCTCGTCATTTACTGGTTTGGTTACATCGACGAACTCAATTACTTGGAGGACAAAGGTATCCTCGTCAGGGATTGCTTCCCTGACGACATCGTCACTATGGACCCGCTGGCCGTCAAGACCTCAGGACTAAAGCATCTCTAAACTGGCTGTCAGTCTACTTTATTACGAGCAATTTTTTGATGAATAAATACTTAACAATTTTCTAATTTCTTTAATTTTTCATTTATAGCTTGGCATTTGTGCAAAGCGTGATGGTTATAGTGTTCCCTATGAACCGTTTGGCAAAGGACACTTCATTCAATAATATCTCAGATTTATTGCCTCCTTTCAGTGTAACTCAAACTGCAGTTTTCTTCACCACTTCATCGTACCTTCAGGAATTCTCACCCGCAGCACCAATTAACCGTGCTAAGGTTTTCTCGAAACTACGCTCTTAGGTAAAAGAATTATCTCGGCTTTCTTAGGTGCTTTTGTATTTATAACAGGGTTAGTAGCTGCAGCTCAATTGTGTTTGAAGTAAAACACTTAATTAACTTTTTTGACACCACGTTTTGTACGAATGAAACAACTTTCTGGAATAAAATTTTTATTACTATTTACTCAGTTATACTCATAGAAGGGGATACACTAACTTTGGCACAGAAATATTTTTGTATTGTTCCTGAACATATTTGTTCAGAATGGGCGTTGGTTAGCACGATTTAAGATGCATTATAATATTCAAAAAATATGATTAGAAATGGCCCTTCTATGGAAATAACATGTTAATTTAAAATGGTAGGTAGTTTCTTACAGGATAACACACCGATCATTAGACCCTGATTATATCATCCATGCGTTAAGTTAGTGCACTGAAAATTCTCAAGCTGACTGCGTTGTCTTCAAATAGAACTGTGGGCGTCCACGCATTTTTTGCAACGACCGTACACCAGTACGCGTTTGATCTTCCGTCATATTATTGAGAATCCTTTCTGTACATGAATGCATCTCAGTTAATTGTTTGGTTTTACACTAATCAAAAATCATTGATACGCACTAAAACGAAAAGATAGATTTATAATACCGCACGAAAAAATAACGTTACAACCAAGGAAAATCTTGAGCCTGTTAGGCACGTTCACTGAATGCTTATGCTAATTAAATTTCATCATTATATCACAAAAATCTCGTATAAAAAAAACTTAGCACTAGAAATTGTACGAAAAACTCAAAAATCGAGTCTGGGTGAAGGCAGTACATTTAGTGTCTTTAGCCTTGCATGCTGAGGGGCTGAGTTCACCGGTCTTGAACTTTGTTGGGTAGGTTAAACGAAAGAACGTTCCTTGCAGTCTCAGATCTTGGCCGGCGATCCCATTTCCAACCTCCTCAGAACATCCACCACATTTTGAGATGAAGAGGAGAAAGGACCAAAGACAGCGGGAAAGTTGTTCCTCACTTGCGAAAGTTCAAAGCTCTTGGATTTATCCTGAACATCAAGCCACTCAAACCAGTAGTCGGATAACTGCTGCCAACACTGCAGTTGTTCGCTGCTTGTTTGCAACCAATCACGCAGTTCTTCCATTCTTCTACGGGATTTTCCCTTTGCCTCTTCCAAAGTTTTCTGCGGATTTTTTGCAGATTTTTTGGAAACATACCTGTAGGATGCTTGTTGACGTAATGCTCTCAAATGAATATAAAACTGCGATTTCAGTTTCAGGATGCCGATCGTATTCCTGTTTGAGTCTTCATAGTAGCAAACGATGCCTTCAGTGTTCCATTTTAATCTAGTTTCCAAGAAGAGGTTCTTCGCAGCAATATACTCCACGCACTCGTACTGGGTTACACAAAAGCCCAGCATGCTGAAGAACTGCAGAGTAGTTTCCTCTGGTAGCGCCGTCAGGGATTGACAGTCTTCTTGCGGAGGAGGTGTAAGTGCAATGACCACCAACTCATCCTGAGACAAAGACCCGAATGAAACCACGTGCTGGTGATCTGGCAACTTTATTTCGCACACCAGCGTTGTTCTTGTGTGGTGGAAAAATATTTGGAGCCAAGATGCCGTGAAACTCTCCAGGCTTTGCCACTTCTTTAAGAATGCCAATGCGATGCGACTCGCTATCGAGTACCGTTCTTCGGTGTAGTGGCTGATATCTTCTTCAGTCTGAAACACAAGGTGGACATTTTTGGATCCTGCGATGAAGTAAAACTCATTCCCGATGAACCTTCCACTCACATGTGCCATTTCGCCATTGATTTTCTCGGTAGCTACCACAAGCTTGGACTCGTGAGGCGGTTTGAGGAAATATTTATCCCTTTCGAAATCTTGCGAGGAGCTCGAACCCTTGCGATGCGGATGATACGCTTGGTCCGTATCGTCGTCGTCTTCAGGGGTAGCGCCAGGGAACTTTCTGAGGGCGCAAATCACGACATCTTCCATCACTTGCAATCCAGTCTCATCGCGAATTGATAATAAAGTAAGCCCTCTCGGAATGTGTGCTCGTAATATTTCATGTTTAGAATACAATTCTTCATCTGGGCCGTGAGATTTAATGCTTATGTCTCTGATGTATACGCTTAAATTATTACGTAACTTAACACAAGGTGCTTCTCTCGCGACTTCCTTTATCAATTTGTTTTGTAAACATTCATTTATCTTGCTTACAAACCAATCTTCAATTCTATTGTGCACATACATATTTCCATTGATTACATTTTTTGGGCATTTTCCTATGCCATCTCCTCTGGGTAAACGACACAAACATTGAACCAAATAGTCCACTACTTGTTTGCCGCTAGAAACTCTTATTCCTTTGTAAAGAAACTGCTTTATACGAGCTAAATATTCTACTCTTTCAGACATGATTTGAACTCTAAAGCTTCACTCAGCAGATTATGTATTTTTTATCGTTTTTTCTGGTTAATTCAATTATATGATATTCTTAAATTACATGAGTTACGATTTGAACTTTATTTTCAAAAAGATTTACTGGAAGCGACTGTCCGGTAGCGAAGAACGTGAATACTTGCGACATCTCCAGTTCCTTTTGTACCTAAATGAAGGAGGAGCATCGGTAAATTGACATGTACAGTAATGACTTGGTGGGAAAGACTCACAGTGAAATAGACATTCGACAAATGTTGCCTGGGTCAAGAAGATGCATTGTTATATGGACTTAACAGTAATGACCTAGGTGAAGGCGCATTGTTATGTAGATATTAATAGTAGAGTTTTGGGTGAAGAAGACCCATTGTTATATAGACTTTAACAGTAGTGGCCTGGGGAAGACGCATTGTTATATAGACATTAATAGTAATGACCTGGGTGAAGACGCATTGTTATATAGATATTAATAGTAGAGTTTTAGGTGAAGAAGAGGCTTGGTTATAGAAACATTTACAATAGTGGCATGGGTGAAGAAGACCCATAATTAGAGTATTCGACAGAAGGCATGATGAAAATGCATAGCCGGAGTTGGTGTGTCATGATAATTTCTGTCCTTAATAAAAACGAAATAGTTAATGAAATTATTCAAAAAGTTTCAAATAATATTTAAGTCAAGTTTTCATGAGTAATCGAGATTAAACTAGTAAAAAGAGGCACTTGGAAATACCGCTAGTTGTGCGGTAAAAACTTACTGCCGAGTACAAAAAAGAACTCAAATTTTCAGAAAGCTACAGGGAAATATAATCATTTCATTAGTGCCAAAAAAATAATTCATTGTTTGAACGACAAAGAGCTTTAAAAATAACTATGCATAATATCGCATCGAACGATATTATGATTAATATCAGTTACGCAAGTAAGTCTAAAAGTATCAACGTTTTATTTTTTCCATAAATCTTATAGCATCATTGGTCCATACGACAAGGCCACTACCTAATCTAGCGGAGGCAGCGGCTACTTTTACAGAGCCAGCGAACGTTCTGAGCCATTATTGCCGTCAACCGCCACTAACACTAATCCTGCCGTTATTTTTTGATCTACTCAAAAACTCTCTACCTTCAATTTAGTCAAAAATTGTGCGACGTGACAGGTCACAAACATTCAACAGTATCTAAATAAATGAAGGTAGGAGTTTTGTTGCAATTAGAATACCAAATTTTTATAATTTGTTTAATTCATTACCTCTGAAATTAAACATTTGGCAAACATTTTTCGTGCAATGCGTAAGCATCAATACATGTCCTGGGTAATGGATAGAAAAGTTACTTTATTTATTCCTCTATACTCTATAGCTACTAACATCACTGCAAGCACCCATAACATTTGGTGAACAAGTATACACCCTAGCCATACTGAGAAACATCTGATTGTTTATTGCTATTGGAACAATTTAACCTGATATCTATGATATATATGGCACTTGGGGAATATGATAAATATGATTAATATTTCTAGAAATTAAAATGCAAATCGAAATAAGGTTTACGCATGCGCTCCTTTCCTTTGCAAGCAAATTACTTCAATAACCACAGAGCTTTAAAGCTAAATTAGACAGACCACTTTCACTCAAAAATTGACAGCTTCTCTTACTCACAGAAATGAAGATACTCCTCAATCACGGGTGTTTTTCTTATTCTCTTGGTTATTTCGTGGAAACGATGAGCCGAACGAAACACGTAGTGCCTCTCTAACCTCTTGGTAACCACTGAAGACAGACTGACACATGCATCTGTATATAAGCTATATTATTATAGCCTCTTCATCAACTCGATAACGGCTGCACAAAAGTGACCGAAAAATTAAATGTTCATACAAAATTGACAAATCCGAATGGATAAAGCTCGCTTGGATCAACTCCCAAGGCAAGCATTCCAAAATCCGTTACCGTTCGTTCGAACGAATTTGTCCTAACATTTTAAGTTAGTTCGTTACACGCATGTAGCAGGTCTGTACATTGGTGTTGCAATCAAACCTTTATGTACTCTTTTATTGTGTCTTGAATTGCTGATGAATGAGAGACATAAAAAAGGAACCAAGCATATATCACTAAATCAGCAGTGGAGTTAGCAGTAAAGTTTGGCTTGTGGTAGCACATTCATAATAATGTTTTACAAGCCTGATATTTCAAGACAGTTTTCACGAATCAGGATGGTACTTGAATGAGAAACCAATTTATGATTTAGAATTATAATAGGCACTTGATAGTTATTTTTTTTTAAATTTGAACCTGTCACCGCCAATTTGATTAAAACTAAAATATCTTTAATTCTACTTAAATTTTCATATAATGATGATTGATATGCGACGTGGATGCAAATCCTTCCTATAGCCAATGTACAAATAATAGGAATTGTTAAGGTGGATTTCAAAACCTAACTATTTAAAATAAATGACAAGAATAAACAGCAGCTATAGTGATGAGTGGTAGGGGCTCGTAAGGTTCAAAGTGCACATGCAACCGAGTCACCAGACTCGTGTAATGCATAGGCTATAATTTGTAGTCGGTATGCTAACCGGACCTACTTCCCTGGACAATGTCTAATTTCAAATACGGCCTAATTACCACGTTTTTACCATGTTTTATTTTTAACACGTTTTTCTTAGTTTCGCTTCGTCTCTGTCTGTCATCAAAAATTCAAACTTTAATTTAGAGCACTTTTGAAGATCCTAGAAACTTGAAATTTGGTATGCATGCTTATGCTGCCTAACAATTCAAGATTTGATCATCAGAAGTAATAATTAAAAAAACCAAAAAAAAAAAAACACTAAAAATTCACTTTTGGGAATCGAGTTTTTTTTTTTTGGCGAACATCCAGAGTTGCCAACCCTGGAAAATGATTTGAATTGCTAAAATTGCTAAACTAAAAGGTAGAAAATAAATAAATATAAAAACATTTAAAAAACCACGTTTTTCTGGAGGTTACAAAACTAAAAACAATGAAAGAAAAACAAATAAAAAAACTTTTAAAAACCATGTTTTCTTAACGGACAAAAAAGAAAAACAATAACTCTTACATAAAATTAAAGTTATGTAAAATGTTATGTAATGTTATGTAAGAATAAATTTTTTCTTATTGCCCGTTAAGAAAACGTGGTTTTTACAGTTTTTTTTATTTGTTTTATTTCCTATGCACACCGCAGAGAGTTGTGTTACATTTGGTACATTTTTGTTAAATTTGTGTTGCTTTATTGCATACGTATTTCATTTAGTGTTGCTTTGTATTCAACAAATTTTCGTTTCTGTTTCTCTGTTGTGTATGTATCCTAATTCTTAATTGTTGCTCTGTTGTATAGGCATTTCAGTTTGTGCGTTGATTTGTTACATGTGTATTGCAGTTTGTTGCTTTGTTACATATGTATTGCAGTTTGTGTTGCTTTGTTACATATGTATTGCAGCTGTCTCTTATACACATCTAGATGTGTATAAGAGACAGGCTCGTTTCTCTGCTCGTTTCATTGCTCGTTTCTCTGCTCGTTTCTCTGCTCGTTTCACTGCTCGTTTCAATTATCTTTCAACGCGACACTCAGATGCCTCTCATATCGTTATATTTATGGTTCTTGCAGAAATTCTTATCTTCAATGGCTTCAAATACCCACGCCCCTTGTAAACAAAAAATATGAGTCATTAAATTATTTATTAATAAATTGAAACTTATAATGAATCTCTAAATGCGCAAAAATACAAGCGTAATGCTACCAAATGTTGAATTATTGCAATCTGTTGTATCATACTGGCTTAGCTAACCTATAGAATACAATGAATGAAATAAAACGATGTCTATTTTATTCAAGTATCTTACGTCACCAACTGCTCCGAAAAAAAAATTGTTTATTGTGCGCACTGTAAATTTCTGCGTTCTTTATTAGCCAAAAGTCAAGGGACCAAAGAGTCTCGCGCTCTCGCCTTCTTTTCATTGATGTTTGTTGCTTCCGTATAGTCAGGCGTGTCACGGAGCTAAAACAAATGCAGAAACATAACATTGAGAGGACATTGAACTGTTTATTAGATATGATATAGCTGATGAATGAACATTATTAACTCGATAACATGAAGTAAGGTTTTCCAAGTAAGTCTCTTGTAGAAGGAAGGCAAATTGTTTATGTACACTACAAAGCAAAGTTATTTAAATGAACCCGTAAATAGAGAATTCAGCGATGTAAGAAAAGAAAGTAGCCATAATTTTGAGCTATATATACTGGAGGATCTTCAACAGAGTGTAAGCAAATAACACTCTTTATATACAAATCCATCAAATGCAACTAATTAGATCGGAGACGTTCCAATTCATTTGATTATTATTATTCATTCAGAATTATTCTTCATCTCAGCATTTATCAATAATAGAAATATGATTCTGAGTTTGATTGCACACAACTTGGCCGCACATTTGTACTTGCTTTGATTACTAATGCCGTCAATTTAGGCCAATAATTTTCTGTAGTAGCAAAAAAAAATCTGTGCAAGCGGAGCAGGCAGGAACGTTCCAGAACCACCGCCCGTTGGAGGCAAGACGCAACACAAGCCGGTCTCTGGATCTCCCGCGATCCAGAAAAAAACTGCCAACGGGGTTTAAAAAAACACCAGAGAACGCTTTGTTTTCAGTTGGAGGCATTGAACCAGAGATCGGAATCAAAAAGCTGATGATTTCCACATGATGTCTCGTGTTGATTTAGGAAAAAAATACAGCAGTAGCTTCAGAGGAAAACGTTCTCGTCGAATTCATGTCTGAACGGATAGCGATCGTGATCGTCTGAACGGATAGCGATCAACTTATTTGCACAACAAATCAGTTGATTTTAACCCAATTACCTCAGTGACGCTGCGCAAAAGGATCAATCAACTGAGATCAAAACGATCACTGTATGAACGAAACTAAGCCATGTAAAATATGCGGGGCTTAGCCCTCGAACTCAGTTACTTTCACGTTGATAATAATCTAGAAATTTGATAGATGCTCAAGAAATTATCCCAGTTGTATACGCACTGTGGATTATCGGTTCATCAAAAAAGCAGGATTTTCGTGTGCGTCAACCGAAGGAGTGACCAAGTGGAAGTGAAATACGTGGCACAGCATGACATTGCGAAAAATGTTTGATGACGACATGTGCCTTGCTGAGACGATGAGTAGAACTTCTTTCATTGCCCGCCGTCCGACTGACGTATCGGATGTGAACTCACGCTGGTATTCGGCATCCGGAAAGATAGAATACCCGTTCTTCACATACCAAAAAATTCCACGGACTTTTCAGTGAGATATTTATCGCTCTGCGATGAATAAATGATAAATAAATGGGATAGTCATAACCTGATAAATGGGTTCAGTCATAAGATAACAATCACAAGTTATGTTCTGTGGCTAACTGATCTGTTAGCTCCACGTTGATTTTAACTTCATAATTTAGTATAAAACTTACCAAACTCTCATGATAATTGGAATGCCGTGCATACATTAATGAATGGATGTCTTTCATCGTCCTTGCAAATCAAGCAAAAATTTGTTTGCTGCTTAATAAATTTTAAAATAAAATAAATTAAATTGGTTATAAATTAAATTGGTGAATATTGCGCATTTACTACTATTGCCCTATTGTATACCTTGCATTTTTATTACAGTTGTACACCTCAGTAATAAATGTTTCGGCCACTACACTATTTTCATTTATTTGTCCTTCCACGAATATTAGGCAAGCTCGTCTTTGCTTCAATAAAAAAAATTAGCGTTTCGAAACGATGTTCCTGAATTGTATACAGTGCATGTTAAATGGCTTTAGTTCGTTTCATGACGCCATTTTATTCGTGAGTCTGCTTCGTAAATTTAAGAAAAATGTACAACTTTAATCCACTGATGTATCCGTAACTTACTGCTCTCACTGATTAACTATCTGCATTATTTACTCCGAAATTTACATAATTTAAAACGTTTATTTAATCCAAGATTTCCCAATCCAAGATTCCCCAAGATTTCCCAATAACTAACTCAAATTTTTCTAAGACTTACTGCATTAATTTCCACTCCCGGATTTCCACATTATTCCCTCTGCATTACTGAGAGTTGAGCGTGAAGTTCACTCTAATGTGTCACGTCCACGTATTACGCTTATAAAATATGATAGAGGATCGCTTCTTAAAGCAGCGCTCACAAGAGTAATTTGGATATTCCCCACAACGAGTGTGTGGGAATTTGACGGCCCCACCTGTCCCAATAGCGGGATATGATTAAATTGAAAAATTATACCTAAAGTGTGAAATTAAATTTAAATTATATTGAATCAACTCAGTATACCAAGAAATGCTTATATGAAATAAAATAATAATTATAAAAAAATACAAGGTTCAAAAAATGAAAGTTAAATATTCTGTCATCGACGAGGAAAATAAATAGTAAACAATTAAATTAAAGAGGTATTTTTTTGGCGATCCGTGAGAAAGAAGAAAAACAACAATTTTTAGTAGCATTATTTGAAGACACTGAGCCTGTTTGCACCGCGTGTTTGCACTGCGGTCTTAAAGACGCCATAGCCAGAATTTTTTTTTTGCGAAAACGTGATGCTGCAAAAGGAAGCGAGATATGCAGAAATTTCTGCCCGGTGAGTGCATGAATTCTCCCAGTCAACGTCACTGCGTAATTCCCGAAATTTACAAGCAGTTGACTTCAGTCTCAGGGAGGAGGCAGATGTCATCTCTGACAATTGGAGCTAAATGTCTCGTTGCATCAGCAGATACAACGGATG